TTTTTTTTTGCTACACTTTTTTTTCACATGGCAACTGTAACTCCAGAGGTGAAACTTATTCTAGCCCTACCCTTGTTTTTATTTTACAAGAGCTTTTTTATAGTTTAAGAACTATAATTAAATTTCCTCTGAACTGAATTATTAAACTTAAGTTTTCAAAAAGAGAATGATGGTATTTCTCCAACTGTTAAGTTTCCAAAAGGAAGATACCTTGTTTTTATTCTAATGTAAGGGATGAGAGAAGTAGAAATTTTTTATTTGGATCTTGATTAGAATTTTTTAATGTTCAAATTCCTGGTTATAAACTACTGTCAACAATCAGTCATTCATTAAGCAACTATTGAAGAGGAGATATTTAAAAGAGCAAAAATAAAACACGATGTCATTAAAACCCTATGCACGTCTTCACTTCAAGGCAAACACTGTGCCCATCTGGGTATTTTAGAAGGTGCCAAATATCATTGGGATCTAGGATTTAATTCATGTCATAAAGAAATCACTGTATTTAATCTATTCACAAAAAGACCTAGAACCTCATGGAAATGATGATAACGGACCGTGACGTGAACTAGTCACATTAAAATTATTTTAAAATTATTTAAACACAGGATCAATCACAAATACGAACAAACTTTCAGTGATCTAGTGTTTTCATAAGGTAATTTTAAAGATAATTTCCAGCTCTCATCGGTTTCTGCTTTAATTTTTTCCACTGTTTAAAAACCCTGGCTGCTTTCAGAAAGGCCAAAGAAGCTACGAGATTTGTCCCCAGGGGACTCAAACACAGATCTTGAGAACTGAGACACCGTTACCTGAACTGACGGCATTGTGCCTACTTGATTTAGTGGCGAGGGCTGCGAAGCACTGAGGTCCACAGCCCTTTATTCAAGTGACAGGAAATAGGAAATTGCATGCAGAGGAACCCAAGTTTAGAAGATATGTCTGAGCCGGCCAACTCGCCATCCAGGGTGGCCGCCTTCCGCAGGGATGGTGGCTTTTCCGTGCTCTCTTGTCCACTGAGTCTCGCATAAACAGCAGACCTGATTCCTGTTTTTGGGCTGAGGACACCGATGAGACTTTTCCATAAATTTTCTTTAGGCACAGACAGCTAAACAGAGAAATGAGCTCTCCCTTTCCCAGCTCCTCTTCTTAAAATGACAGAGAATCTGCCTGTCCTGGCTCTAACCTTAGTTATAAAAAAATAAATAAGTAAAAGATTTTCTCCTCTGGTTCATCACAACTCAACCAACAGTCATCATCTAATCTTATAATGCACATGCGAGAAATTCGTTCTCACGATCATCCTGTCAGGAAAATCCTTCCTCCAGCCCTCCTTTCCTTTTTTCCTTCCTTCATTCCTTCCGTCCTTCCTTCCTTCCTACCTACCTTCCTTACCTACTAGTGGTATGAGCTTCCTTCCTTCCTACCTTCATTCCTTCCTTCCTTCATTCCTTCCGTCCTTCCTTCCTTCCTACCTACCTTCCTTACCTACTAGTGGTATGAGCTTCCTTCCTTCCTACCTACCTTCGTTACCTACTAGTGGTATGAGCTTGTAAACAAGCTCATACCACTAACCTCCAAGAGTTATTCTGTACTGGACAGCTTTAAAAAAAACAAAAAAAACAAATTCTTTACGCTTCTAAATCCACCCCCTGTCGTTATCCTTAGTTTCCGAATATGTACACAGAGTTAACAGGCACCCGGGTTAACTGAGATTCTACTACGTGTGTTCTCTTCCTTCATAGCGCACCCTCCCCTACAGCATAGCGCACCCTCCCCTACAGCGGCCCCTGCACGCTCGTCTGCTGCCTGTTGCTCCTACTAGCCGGCAAACTCCATGAAGGAAGGATTAATGTCCGCGTTATCCTTGAATAAACACTGTGGCTGGATGGAAGGAGGGAAGGGGAGTGGAGGGAAGGGAAAAGAGAAGTAGTAAGAGGAGGGAGGGAAGGAGGGAAGGGAAGGAAAGAAATGTGGTGACAGCAACGACATGGTGTTAGCTGTAGGGAACTTTGATAGTTTCATGAGGTTTTTCATTCATAGAACTTAAAACCCTTTGTAACCGTTATCTCAAAAATCTCACAATAACCCCAAGTGATCTTTCAACATTAAATGAAAATGATTATGACACAGGGGCAGAGAAACGTGCAGTAATTCACTCCTGGATCTTTCATGTTTCATCTGTAAAACAGCCACGATGGCGGGCAGTCCCGCTCACTGACCTTCCTAGTTATCTGTGGTAAGTACAGAGCTCTGTTTCTCTAAGTAGATAATTTAAGAACTGTGATAGCGGTTTAGTAATTCTTTCCTTTCTATTCATTCAACATGTCTCAGTAACACGAAGCCCTGATTTTAACCTTGGATATATTTGTAGAAAGGAAGAACTAGTTCTCAAGAAATTCTTCTCATTTTTACCACCCACATAAACACGAAGCTGCTGGTAAAAGGACAGCTCTCGATGATGAAATCATTTACCAATACTAAGCAGGGACACTGGGGGCAGAGGGTGACCTCAGACCTGACAGCTAGGCAGGCGGGTTGCGTCACTAAGAGGATCCTCTGATCGCCCAGCTCTGGGGGGGGCGGGGTAGCGCTGAGGTGCTCTTCCTCGTGTGACATATCCTACGACGGGCCTGATCATTAATACAGGACAGGTGAGGTGTCGCCCATGCTCACTCGGCCCACAGCCACAGTGAGGTGCAGCCCAGGCCCTGCAGGCTGGGTGTGCTGCCTGGCCCAGCCACCGGCCGTGGGCCTCCCTGCTCAGTCTCTGCTGGGACACGGGCTGCCACAAAATCACGTGCACCACGGAGAAACGGTGAGCACAGAGTTCTATCAGGAGAAAGAAAGTCCAAACAGACCATTGTGGCTTTAAAGCATCTTGTCTAGGAAGGTACTGATAAGGAACTTAACCTGCTGAGCTGAGCACAGCCCAAAGCTGGTCTGTGTTTGTCACAACTGTCTAAAGCTCTCTTGTCTAGGCAGAGATGGGCATGAACTGCCACCACCTGTGGCAGCCCCAGGAATCATGAGAAGTAACAGGCAAAAGCATGCCCTTGGTCGCCTTAATACTGTGGGTCTCCTGTGACAACACTCCCTTCCGAAAAATACACGCAAACCTAGTTCCAGTGTGAACACAACCAGTCCAGCCTTGGAAATTCAGCGTTCCTATTGCTGGCACCTTTCCCTCAGTTGAAGCTTCTCAGCCAGTGTGTCCACACGTGTCATCAGCCGCTGCTCTACATTATGTCTAGCATTCTCTTGATGACCAAGTGACACGTCGCTCCCTGTACTCTC